AGTCAAGTAATAAGATTACAGCAAATGTAGTGACTTGGGTAATATTGATTAAACAAACGACTGTCATATGGGGAAGCTAGTCACGTAGGGTGTGTATTGGGAAGGAACAAAGACCCTCACCCCCACCCCAGAGAACAGGCTAGGGAGGTTTTGGTCCCAGCTCAAGGCCATTGTTACATATTTAGAGTATCAATCACTGCTATTCATCTCTAGGGGAAGTATGTGAGTGCAGTACTTTTTCCTCTGTTTATAAAGTTGACCTTTAGCCTATGTGTAGATTGTCCTTCATATTGACTTCTGGAGGGCCTACACTGTCTAACTTCCTACAAAATATCTAATTGACTTAGTTTTGTACCATATTGTGCGATTAAGAAAGAACATAAGGTAGGGCAGTTTAAAATAAATTGGTTATCAAATGGTTTACTTGTAACTATTGCATAAAATATCAAATATTCATTCCTAACATTTTCTTAATCTATCATATTTTCATGAAAATACACACATTTATTTATTAATTATCTAACTTATGTGATGGGCTTAAAAGCCTATCAGAATCAAATAGTTTTTATAAAATAGAATTGACAGATGGATAATTATTATGTTGTATTTTTTTCTGTTTATCTGTTATTAAAATATTTTAAAATGTCTTTATTTATAGGTAAAAAATAGATTATTAAAAGCTTCTTTGAGTTGGGCACATCTGAAATCCCAGCCCTCAGTGGGGGCAAAGGGTGAGGCAGGACTGCAGGTTTGAGTCCTGCCTGGGCAATTTAGTGACTTAGCAAGGCGCTTCTGAAAACAAAGAAACAAGGCTGGGGATGTAGCTCAGTGGTGCTGCTGCCTACCTTGAAAGCGCAAGATCCCTAGTTTGAGCCCCAGTACCAAGAAAAACAAAAATCATGAGACAGGCAAACAAACAAGGGACTGGGACATTGCTAGTGGCAAGAGCCTTGGGTTCAATCCCTAGTACTGAAAATAATAATGAAAATATTGCTTTTCACAAGTCCATTAAAATATTTAATTCCCCATCTAAATAAGGAAAATAAAGTTACTGAAATCCTGTAATTTTTAAATGGCATAAATTCTTTTTTAGTTTGACAATAATGAAGGACTAAACAGATTATAGATGCAATGTAAATTACTAGTATAAAAAGAAAAAAGATTTGAGTATCAATTCAATCATAAAAATTCTGTCTTTATGGTATTTATGTTTGGAAAATTTGTTTAAAGTAACATACACTTTGCGAATGAATACTAATAGGAAAATAAATGTTCCAGAAGCTTGCACAAAGAAGAGTTAACTATTGTCCAAGATATCAGTACTTCAAAAGGATATTCCATCCTTCAAAATACACTACTCTTGCTTTTAAAGATTTTTTTCAAAAAGAAAATGAGGATAAATGAGACTCATTTATTTATATACAAGTACATGGATGGAGTGATGCCTATCTAACCACTTTAAATGTTTTGTTTGAAATTACATTCAGAATTTATGATGTTTTTTTCTTAAAGGAAATTTGAAAATTATGAAGATCTATTGTTCTGAGCCTAAAACATAATGTAGAATTTTGACATATCAAATTTGATCGACATTTAGCTCTCATATCATGAATTCTGCATTTACTGCATCAGCAGTTAAGTCCATTGGTTTTACTTGTGACTAAAAACATATGTCCTTTTTGACAGGATTCTTCAGTTTTTCTCCTTGGATTTTGAGGTATGTTTTTGCATAAGTCCAGACACCTGTGTTTGCAGCTAGACAAATAGATTATTTAGAAATGCTTTGATTTACTTTCTTAGAAGGCAGTGATCTTTGTCACTCTAAATGTGGAGCATGACGCTCTCAAGAAATATTCTGCATGTTCATGGTGTTTTCAGAATTAATCTGTTTATCTAAATTCAAATGATTTCCATTTCATGGCATAATTGCTCACTCTAGAATTGAGATCTCACATCTCCAGTATTTTTATGAGAACAAGAGTTAACTTGAAGGTTGTGTTATACACTATAAGGGTCATCTTTTCTATAATTCAAAATCTATTTCCATTTAACACTTCTTGGAGATATCTTTGTATCGAGTCACTTGCCCAATTTGGAAGTTTTATTACTATTGCAAAAACACATCTTAGCTTTTTAGGGAGAAATATGACACTGGTCTAAAAAAAAGTAACTAACAAAGTTCTCTACATATCACAATGTTCACAACTATTACAAGTTATGTCCCTTTATGTACAAAAAGATTTATTTACAATTACTGAGCTGTACTTCAGGTTCAAATGTGTCAAATACTTTCCATACACTCATTTGGGCATTGTTGACTCAGAAATATGATTTTCAAATTTGGCTTTAGAACATCACTGAAGATGATACAGGTTGAGTACAGCTGACATTTTGGGTCAAGGTGTAGTATTAATTCACTCAAAAAATCCAGTGGATCCTTACAGTATATAGCTACGTTTGGAAAAAGTGAGATTATATATCTATATATCTATATCTATATATTTATATGATTTAGGAAATCAAATGAGAGTTGCTATTTCATTACTTACATAAGACAATGCTGCTAAAGGCACTAAATGTAATTCCCTTCATTTCTTACTTTAATTCTTCCAGCATCTAATTATATGGGACCCAAGCAAGGTGTACGATCTTCGGGGAAAATGCTACTTGCTTTTAATGGAAATGTGCAAATGACAGGAAAGAAGATTTATAGACAAGGTGTAATACATATATATATATATAATACATATTCACACAATTTATCCTTATTCAGCAATCAGTTTCAGGCTGATTATTTTGTCCAGTTGAAAGTTTTAGGTCGGAATCTTCAGAAAAAATTTGACAAGTTTTAGCTATAATTTTTACTTTATACGAATTGAAATTTTATTGATTTACTTTTTAAATCTTAAAACTTAAAAATATTGCCCATTCAAACCTCTATCCCATTCTAAAGAAATAGGCTGAGTAACAATAACCGTAAGAAACTGAGTTTTGGAGAACTCAAATCAGGTGAAGAATGAGAGTCATGAAAGAGGTTGGAAAGTTGTCATGGTTTAGTAATATAGTTTTCAATGGCTGCTTCAAAGAAGTTAGTTTCTTTTTCATCATTCAAATGCCTGTGTCAATCCTGTTTCTTCATTTTGGCTCTTCTCAGCAGTCATGCTTATTCTATTAGGATGAAATTGCATTTGCCCTCATTTTACAGAAGTATGACAGCCCTGGGAGAAAATACTGAAAATTGCAACAACATACAAGCGGGACAACAGGAAAAATACAGAAATTAATATTTAAGCTCCATTTTATTCTGACTTTCATATTCTGGAAACATTTTCCTGATGGTTGGAAGCAGTAAAGCTACCTGGCAGAATCTACTCACTGCCTCACATACATTCAGTGATTAGCCTTCCCCCTCACTTTGGGGGGATGATGAATAATTTTGGCACTGGCTCCCTCTCTCTCTCTCTCTCTCTCTCAACTTAAATTTCCAAAGAAGAAAAGTGACATAATCTTCTTTGCCACCTTCTGTGATTAATGTCTGGAATATTGTGTGTGAGAGGACTGGAGTGACATGTCCACCAAGCTGTGGTGGACGTCTGCTTTGAAGACGTGAGCAGCCACATGCTTTCCCTGGGTGGCACATGCGTGGAGAAGATGAAAAGGAAATGATTAATGGAGTTTGTGTTCAGATTCCATGCCCATTTAATAATGTATATTAGTGATGCACTTTGGCAATAAGACTATTTAATAACCATTAAGCAGAAATTGCCATTCCTCATTAACGACAGATTGTCTTATAACACATTGTCTGATTTCTCATACAATTCAACATAAATTAAGTAACAGATTTTATGTGTAGAGCTAAAGAGCAAGTTCTTTATTTTCCAAAGAAAATAATAAACATCTTTGGGGAAAATTGTTCAAGCCTTTAAGGTATAATTAGGAAACAAAGAGAAAAAAAAATTAATGTCTAAAATACACACTCTGAAACTGAAGAGTAGTTCCACTGTGGTGTTTTTCAGGAAAACAGTTGTGAAATATATGAATCAGATTTGCAACCTATAGGTATATTTGACTCACAAAGTCCTAAAAGATGTTCTATGAGGATTACATTTAGAGCTTGTCGGTAGTGGAGGAAGGTTGAGAGAAGACAATGTTTATCTCTCTTCTGTCCCCCAGCACCCAGTCATGGTTTGAAGCTCCCTACACAGGTAGAATTTTTGAGTGCTATGAGGATGGAAAGGGGGTGTAATTCTTGTTTCTGTATACTGACCTGTAAAGGTCAAAATATTTCCAAAGTGGGATCCTGACACTGCTTTGTACCCCAGTAGAAGTTCAAGTATTTTAAACATTTGGTAATTAGAGTTGTATTGAATGTGTTTGATTTCAGTGAAATTTAAGAGTTCCCTGAAAGGGAAATCACTGAAAAGGAAGACATCTGCCTTTTTAGTTCCATGTACCACTGAGACAGGTCATTTGAAAGAAAATTGTTCTGGAAAGAGATTGCATACACAAATAATAGTTTAAAATATTTGCTTCTGTCTTGTGAGATTTTGAATGACTTTAACATTATTTTTATGTTTATATGTTTAACCTTCTTTATAGTTTTTGTACTATTTGAATTTCTTACATGACTACTTTTCCAATCAGAAAAAAAAATACATATGGGTAAAAAGAACTATTATAGTTGAAATGATTCCATGGAATAAAAAAGTAAAGGAAAAAATAATGAATAGATTTAATAGCATAAATGTATTCAATATTTGTGGCATAAAATATTTGGTTAATATAAATCTATCACATTATAAGCCTTCTATTTCATTTAATGGGAGATAATTGTAATGGTCATCAAAATTATGCAGAAGAAATAATGATATTTTCCCTATGACTCAATTAGCTTAGTCTGCTTAAAAATTAAGATTCTATTTTTAAAGCATATCTATGCAAGGTTAAAACATAATTTTAAGTGCATAATGTAAATCTGTAATTAATGTCACACTCACGATTTTGAATACTTCTTGCTCAAAGTAAACTTGTGATCCTAAAAATGAAACAAGGGAAATTATCCAAGTGGCTAACATGTCTGTACAGTTTATTTTAATAAAACAGCATAGATCTCAAGAATATGAGAAACTTCTGAAATCCATTCAATCTGTCCTTTCACTTTTACTAAGAGGACAGCACTGGAGACCTTATATAATCATTCAACACCTTTAAAAATACTGCTGTAATTTTTACACCTGTTTTTAAAAGCCCATTTCTTTATATCCTACCACATTTCTCTGCTTGTTTTCCACATAGTTTGTTTATAGCTTAATCCAACATGAGTGGTTCTAAATTCCTGTCCAGTTAAATGAATACCTGGTAAGGCACTAATAGCAACAACATAGTCAGCCCTTTTCCTGCCCCTCCAAATGAAATGAGATTTCTTGGTTTATACTGGTCCACTACCCACTTATTAGAACTTTATCTTTTCCTTGGACGTGATCTTCCTGCCAATCAGGGTCTAGACCTGCTTTCCACTACAGTTGTACCTTAGCATCTACAGGGGATTGATCCCTGAAATCCTGAAAATATCAAAGTCTGCAGAAACTCCAACTGCTTATATTAAATGGTACAGTATTTTCTGGAATACTTTACATCATCTCTAGATCACTTATACAATCAAATACAATGTAAGTGCTATGATTACACAGTATTGTTCAGGGAATTATAGAAAAGTCAGTATGAAGATGATCATTATAGACACATTACATTGTTTCATCCTCAGTCTACTTAAAACATGAATGCAGAGGGCCAACCATGCCATTCCTTTTGAAGATCTTTGTTGCACCTTTTAAAATGCTTACTGCCTTCTACTAAAATTTAGTAGCTCTCATTGTAGTTATATCAGCACATGGGTAGTCTCTAAACATGGGGCTTTGTTTGGGGATCTACTTATATGTTTTGACCAACTTTTAATAATAAATATTTCAAATCCTGCATTTAAGGCAATCACTGTGCTAAAATCTTCCTCTCTCTATTTGATTTCCTTGCCTTCATGGAAGATAACTATGGCTCCAGATATAAGCTTAAGAACTTCTGTCCTGCATCCAATAAACTAGATGAGTAATGTCAATTTCTGTCACCCAAGAAATAAAAATTTGTCATGGACTAATTAATTTAATGGAGGAAATTTCAGAGCAGTCTAATGTTCTAGCAGTAGCATCGGTACAGTTTTTGGCCAGACATGTAATGAAAATCAGGAACAAATAGCAGGTGTGAAAAGTTTGTAGTTTCATCAGAAAGGAAGTGCTGGGCAAGTTGAGGCAATGGACAGCTTAGCTGCCAAAAAGATTTGTTTACAAAGAACCCAAGTACTTTGTATTAAAACATGAGGAAAGATAGCTTGAAGGCATCTCACAAATCAGTGAGACCCTGCCTTTCACAGGCTCCAAGGTGCAAAACTAAAGCTTTAATTTGAGAAGAGAGTCCCTAGTATGACCGCTTAAGAAGTTCACATAGTGAATTGGTTCCCTGGGATTCATTTCACCATGCTCAGCTATTCAAGCATCAGCCCTATTCCAGTGGGCCTTGCTACTGTTCAAAGCTATCTGCTTTGGTAGCAGACCCTAGTGTCATCCATCTGGTGCTGGATTTACAGGCATGCAGATGCAAGCACTCCAGTGTTTTGGAGCCTTCCACCCAGATTCAGAAAAAGGTATGGGAGGTCGAGCTTTTGGCCTCTGAGAGGGAATGCATAATGCTGTGAGAGTGAAGCCAAAACTGCACTGGAGATGCCAGGAAGTTGATGTTAGGATGTGAATAATCTGTTGAGGAAAGTTATAGCCAATGAGTGGAATCACCCCCAGCGAGAAGGCAAGAAGGCCGCAAACATTGAGGCCATAGGGGCAGGGCTGCCTAAGACCTTTGATGTTCGCATCTGACTACCTCCTGACCCAGATACTGGATGTAGAGTTACAAGCTTCAGTGTTTTCCCTGTGTGTTTCAATCTTGCTTTGCTCCAATTCCTTTCTACCATCCTGTCCCTTCATTTTGAAATGAAAATGTTTACCCAGTGGCATTGAGTGTAAGAAGTTTTTAACTTCTGTTTTGATTTTTTACAGAAGCTCATGTCTGTGAGTTTGCCTTGAGTCTAAGAGGAGTGTGGAATTGGACTGTTAAACAATATTAAAACTATTCAGATCTTATTAACTATAAACTAAATGCATTTTGCATAATAAGATGGAGATGAACATTTTGTGGATTGTGGTGAGAATTTTACCTTTTAAATCTAAAATATTCAATGGTTAGGATCTTCATGTCTAAGACACTGTCATAAAGATCCTAACCACAGAAATAAGAACAGTAAAGAAAATGAAAAGCATCAAAAATGATCAAAATAAGCTATCTCAAATACTAATCACCCAGAATGAATGTAATTATGATATATTTCAACCATACACTAATAAAAATTGAAGGCCTATAAAAATCAAACTATGTTTTTTAGAAGATGACCTGGTCATCTCTGACCATCTGATGAAATGTATAACACATCATCTAAATCTAATCAGTGAGTTTAGATAGATTTCAGGATAGAGAATTGATATTATTACTACATTCTAGCAATAAAAACATGGAACTGACAGTTTGAAAATATAATTTACAATAGGGTTACAAAACATTGAATGATTAGGAATAAATGTAACCAAAGATGTATAAAACCAGATCACTGAAAACTGAAAATAAAGCATTCCTGGGAAAAATTAAAGATCTCAATAATTGGAGAGACATGTTTTTCTCATAGGCAATGATATGTAATGTGATCCTAGGATATTTTTTGGTTTCTTTGATGTTAACTAATGAGCAGATTTTAAAATTCATATGGAAATGCAAAGACTCTAGAATGGTCAAAATAACACTCAGAAAGAATTAGGAACACTTGTATTACTCGATTCTAGGCCAGGAAGCTTTAAATTTAGAGTTTAAAGTAATGTGATACTTGAATGAAGGTAGACAAATAGTTTGGAAGCTAAGAATAGCAGTCTAGAAGTGGTCAACCAATTACTTGTCAGAGTGAAAAGTATTTCTGTAGAGAAGGGATAGTTTTTTCAGATGTTTAGAAAGCAATAGCCTAATTCCCCATAAAATAAACTTCGCTCTACATACAACATCATATATAAAAGCAGCATAAAATATATTCAGAAGTTTAATGTAAAATGTAAAACTTCTAATAGAAAACATAAAAGAAAAGCTTATTGACTCTGAGTCACATATAACACCAAAATGAATCTAAAAGAAAAACATTGAAAAATTAGAACATATTTAAAATTAAGGTCTTTAATATTTGCAAGGGCACTGTTAAAAGTATGAACAAGAAGTAACAGATTAGGAGAGAAAATTATAAATGGCTTAGATACGTATAATTTTATGTTTTTTGCATCAGAATATATAAATAAAATACAAAGAACTCTCAAAACTTAATAATTAAGAAAAAGCCAAAATGTAGCAAAAGATTTGTACAGACACTTTAATAAAGAAGATGGCAAATATGCATGTGAAAGGATATTCAATAGCATTAGTCATTAGGGGAACATGGGTTATAATCACAGTGTGGTCATATGACGTATCTACCAGGTAGCTAAAATGAAAAACTGACTATACCAATTGTTGCTAAGAATGTGGAGCATCTGAAATTCAGATTCATTGCCAGTGAACCTAGAAAAATGATAAATCACTTTGGAAAACAGTTTGGAGGATTCTTAAAAACTTGAAAAGTGAAAAGAAATATAAAATTTCTACCGTATCATCTAGATATTCACACTTATGTATTTATACAAGTGAAAGCATGGTACATATTCATTCAAAGATTTGTATGTAAATTTTGTAGCAGTTTTATTATAATAGCCTCAAACTAGAAATCATCCAATTGTCCATCATAGGTGACTTGGTAAACAAATGATATATAAAGTAATACCAATGAATCCTACTCAGTAAAAAAATAGAAGAATCCACCAACACAAAGGCCATGGGGAAATACAAAAATAGTTGCACCAAGTAAAGGAAGTCAGACAAAATGATTTTATGGTTCTAAGACTCCATTTATATAAAATTCCAAAAAATGCAAACCAGTGTACAGTGAGAGAAGGCAGATTGGTGGTTACTTGCAGAGGGCTGTGCTAAGAAAGAAGGGAGGGATTACAAAGAAGCAGAAGAAATCTATGGGGGTGATAGATAATGTTCAGTATATTGATTATGTTCATTTTCCTCAGAAGTATGCATATGTCAGAAATTATCACATCTTAATTTTTTATCACATCTTAATTTTAAATAGCAGCAATTGATGCATTTCAATTAAAAATGAAATTATAAAACTTTTAGTTCAAAAATAAAATGCATACATTTTATTCACACAAAGAACCAATTTGATTACAGAAAGAATGACAAGACACGAACCCACAGTTTTTATCCCCAGGGAAATATTTCCTTATGTGGTCTAATTCAAAAAGATTTTTTATTTCTGTCTTATCATCACATAGTTAATTAAATAGCAAATTAACTCCTCGATCTAAAAATGCCCTAATTGTTTTTCTTAGTGACTGGATCCTTTTTTTGTTTGTTTCTTTGTTTTTTGCAGTACCAGGGATCAAACTCAAGACTTTGGTGGGTACCACTGAGCTAAATCCCCAGCCCGATCCCCCTTTTTTTTATAACAGCAATTTTCATTTTGTTCTTCTAAGACATAGTTCCATTGTTTATTTAAAATTACATCATAATGGAACCCATTGAATAAATAGAAGATCTTTAATTTTAGAAGACCTACAAGATTTTGTCCAAATCTTAAAAGGCAATGATTAACCCACTGTAATTCAGCAGTTCTCTCTGCCAACCTGAGAATCAGACCTTAACTAAATTTATTTGTGTCCCTGGGAAAGTTCATTGAAACTCTCAGTGCTTGATCCACACATGTACATGCTAACTCCTGTGAGGCATAAAGCATAATTTTTAGAAACCTCCCTGAACTATTTAATGCATGGCTGTCTTTAAGAGTCACTGGCAATT